TGCCTAGAAATGGGACCTCAGAACCTTCCTAAGCTATGCATATCCAGGGACGGTGTGATAGCTTGAAACTTTTCTATCCCAGAATTAGCCATGTTTAATTCCTGGCAGGTATCTTATACAAACTAATATAACACATTAGTTTATATAATATAAAAATCTGTGTCTGTTACCCAAAAGGGTTGCTTATTTGGAACATGGAAATAGGAGAGACTATGAAGGTCAACAATGAAACTGCATTTCTACATGTATCTCATAGAACATGTAGATATTTTAGGCACATAACCAGCTGCCCTTCTGAGTGGAAAATTAGTAGGTAGTCAAGGGCTATCCCATCTGGATTTAGATCTTGATTTTGACACCTATTAACAGTAGGATGTTTCACAAGGCTAGGACATTTTTGTTTGTAAGTAAAGGGCACAGTGAATCTTAGCCCATAAGTGTTCTGTGAGGTTTAAATAAGTGACTGGCCCACAGTAAACTGTATTTATAAAACACATATTTATGTGTACATATGCAAATATAATATAAATAATAGACTAGAATATATAATTACATACTCACACATGTATTCTTTAAATTTATTATTTAGTTAAATTATTATTATTCATTTCTCTTCAGCCGGGTGCTGAATGATGAGCTCAGTTTTTTATACATGCTAGGCTAGTGCTCTGCCTCCAACCCATTAATGTTGTCTTAAAAATAAGTATTCATGAGGCATCATTCTGATGACTTCCTGTTTTGATATTTTAGGAAAGATGCATTTAAATCCTTTCTGGGCTGCTACCTGTAGCATTTCTTGATGTGATTATCTGAGTCTTTATCAATCAGTACATCAGTGAAATATACTGCCAAGGAAGCAGAATTCAGTGACAGCTTGCAAGCTTTTATTACCGGCAACAGTGTTTGGCTGTGGAGAGTTTCCTTAAGTAAACTGGCAAAGGACTGAGCTTTTTGAGGCAAGTTTTCTGTTCACCTGTTTTGTTGGCCCTATAAGCTAAGTAAGCAGTATTCATTTGTATATAATAGTTTTAGACTGTAGAACATGAACTCACAATGTTTTTGAAAGTTGGATCTTGGGGAAAACAGTTCAGTGAATTACAAAATAAAAAGAGCTATACTGAAAGGAAACCTTTTAACTTGTTGACATTTACTGGGTTGAAGTTTTCTGTATGGCATCTGTGTAGAAAACTATGCATATAGGGTTCTTGCTAAATCAAGTGTTGTTGAAATTTGAGCAAATTATGTATAGGCAAATGGATAGTAGTTAAAAATAAGTTCCCACTATTAACTTATGAGAGTCTTAAGTAACACATTGCCAGGATCCACTATTAGTATGTTAGTTTGATCAACATTAGTACATGTGTTTGGAAGTAAACTAAAGCATTTCCTTGAAAATACTGTTGTTTTTAAGTTAGACACTCACAAATTTAGGTTGGCTCTCCTTCAAATGCTATTCGTGCTTGAATAAACTCTTCTCTGTACGTTTCTTGCTGGATCAGAGCACAATGTGAGAGTCTAAATTTCCTGCTCCCTCTCATGTGGTTTGAGGAGTCATTCTGTTTCATTGTGGCAGGCATGGAGGAGATGAGCTCAAGAGTTATTTTAGCACCAGTTATTAAAAGCACAGGTGATAGCCACCAGATGACAATCTTTGGGTTCATCACAGAGTTCATCCAGGACATTATTTCAAGCTTCTCTTAACCCTTGTGCAGGTACAAAAAATGTCCTAATACTTGGTGTTGTTCTGCCTACACCTCTCCAAATAGTATCATTGGCAGAGTTCCATTGTAGACATGGAATCCCACTGAACAGAACATCCACAAAAAAAATCTCACTTTACAGAAAAGTAAGTACAAAATTGGGCCAGGTGCAAGTATCTAAGTAACACATACTGTGCTGTTCAGATGAAGCTAGTTAACTGAAGTCACATGTAAATCAGTAGCTCAGAGAAGAATCTGTATGAGTGGCTGGTCATGCCTCAGGATATGGGCATAAAGAATAAATCAGAGATCTCTATATATGACACTCATTAGGAGGAAAACATGTATCTGGGATCCAAAGGTTGAAAGTAACATTGGCCAAGGACCTACTGGAAACTTTCTTCTTTGCTTCTCACAAGTTCAGCCAAAAATATTTGCAGGTTGTTGTCTTCACAGAGGGCTATGCAAGGATTCACTAATCTTAAAAAATACATAGCCACTTTAAGTACCCTGTATGTAAGGACCATCAAACTGTTATATTTGGGGGATGAGGTTTTTCAGCACACTGGGGATAAAGTCACCTACATGTGGAACTCAGGTGATCCACTTGGGCCCTTGTTCAATTGTACCTGTGAAATGACACAAGCAGCAGACCAAGACTAGAAAGAATCTAATGCATAATAGCTGAGACTCATTAGGAATGGCAAGGAAACCAGTACAAAAGATATGTTTAGGTGATTGCTCAGGCTGTGTGTGTGTGTGTGTGTGTGTGTGTGTGTGTGTGTGTGTGTAATGGATAGAGAACAGCACACACACTAGTAGGGAGAGGTTAACTGCATATCCAGAGCTGCCATTTCTCCAGTTAACCCTCATGTTCATGCCATAGAAACACAAGATTACAGACACCATGGAAGAGCTATGTCACTGTCATGCTTATTTAGATTCTCTGGCTGCTGAGCTTTTAGATCCATTACAAAGATTGCACCAGATCAAACTTTCCCTGCACTATTGTCAAAAAGTAAGTACAAATGAGATACTACAGCTAAGCCATTATAGCTCAATTTGCAGTTCTTGTAATGGATAACTTTGGCTTAGAGTATAGATTTCTATGAAGAGACAATATATTTAGCACCTGTATACTAGATCAACCAGGATTGTTAGTTGACAAAACATTGGTTTAAAATTAAGAAAAAAATTTCAAGGTGTAAAAATGGACAATACAAAGGATGATATAAAGGTGGTAGGAAGAATCTGGGGGAGCCTCTAAAAACTGGTTGACCTTGGTGAATGGCCTCAACATATTTTCCCCATATTTATAGCTAATCCTCATTTATAAGTAAATATTTTTGTTAAGGCTATCATACCATGAGGCTAACAGAGAGAAACAAAACATAATCCTTAATATATTGTCTTAAGGAGAGAAAGTTCTTTTCTCAGCCCTCTTGAAAAGTGTCAAGGACATTTTTCATCCCTCATGAAAAGTGTAAAGAATATTTTTTCTTAATACTATAAAATATAAAATGAGTATGGCGGAACTTTACATTTACTTCATCAAAGCTTCAACATGTTAATTACTGATAATTCATACAACCTTCTAAAAATAATGATATACAGTCAGGGCACTCTTCCTGATATTGCAGTTTTTCTTGGTAGCTTTTCTTGACCTTAGGTAACCAGGCATCACCATCCAAATTATCTTCTCTTCTCACAGCATAATCTCTCTACTGGTAAGGTTAACTTCTTGATATCTTTGTTTGAATATAGTGGTTTCTTCTGTCCTTATCTTTCAAGTCTTATTCTGTTCTAAATACCTTTCAGTTCAATGAGCTCAACTCCCAATGACCTTGCCATATGCATTACATAAATTGCTACTTGCAAAATTTTATATACTGTACTATGAATGTTTGTTTAATTTGCATGTTTTGTCTCCAACCAGATACCCACATCTCAAACTTTTAACTGATTTGGTCAGTACTTAACAGTCACATAAATTTATCACACCTGATTTTAAATACTGATAATCATGTGCAAATTATCATTGCCATAGTGACCTATACCAACCATTTGTGGCCAATAGAAGTATTGTGACATGGCAAAACTGCATGCTTTTGTGTATCTGATACAATTTGAGTTATCTTAAACCTTTAGTTCATGACACTGTTATCATTTCTCGTGGCTTTCTTTAGAACCCCATTATCTGTCTGTTCGATTATATTGGCTCTGTTTTTAAAACAGAACTATACTCTTTTCATTTCTCATCAAATCCCACATCTTGTTTTTATGTCCCATCATCTCTCCTGGATTATTAAAAGTTTTTTTTTTTCTAATTGATGTGTTTTAAACCCTGTAGTACTTTCAGAACCTTCAACCATATCTCTGTTATAAAGTCTGAAATGGCCTACAACACCTTAAATGAGCTTTTCTCTCTACCACCTGACTTCATCTCCCATTACTCTCTGGCCACTTCCTTCCAGTTATACTTATCTGCTTTGTTCTTCTGCTACAAACTGTGCCCCAAGTCATGTCCAGTCTTCAATTAAAATCCAATTAAAAGATCCAAACTAAAACCGAAAACAGAAAAGGAGATTTATTCAACATGGCTTTATTGGGAAGAGAGATTTGGGTAGTTCACTATCTGTCTCTTTCTCTCTGTCTACAGTATTTTCCACTTTTTAACATATGATTCCCCTTTAAATTGTATAATGCATCACTGGTTTCTTCATGTCTACACAAACTCCTTAATCAGGGGTGTGGGTAGGGGAGGTTGGTGTGTAGCAGCACCATTTGATCTCAGGAGCCACAACAGTGACTAGTACATTCAAGACACTAAGTTAAGTACTAAAAAATGTATTTGAAATTGGATTTTCTTTCTGGTTTATGGAGTGCGAGTGTTCTTTCTGTACTGGGAAAATGCTAAGACAGTACAGCTCTAGGTCATGTAGCCTCACTGGTTCTCAGGGCAGAGATGGAAGTCTCAAAGTTAAAAGTACTCAGATATTAATGGTTTCTGGGGCTGCTGAAGAAAGGACAGGAGCTACGTCCCCTTCCTAGGGCAGTGTTTCAAACCTCAGAGCTTGCAACTTGACTTTGAGTTTATTTGCCAGACAAACCCAGCACCCTCACCCCGTGTAACAAGGACCTTGCCCTTCCCCAGGCAGCTTCACTGCCCTTACTTAGGTGGTTAAGTTGTGCCAAAACTCCTCTCCCCTCCCCCCACCTCCGGGCCAGTATATCCATGTAGCCGGTAACAGGTGCTGAGACTAGCTACTGAGCGCCCGGGTGTTCAGCAAGGTGCTGAAGGGACAGTAGGATGGTCGCGGACAGGCAGCGCAGCAGACACCCGGCCGAGGACCCGCGCGTGTCAGTGGATCCGCTACGGGGCCCGGGGCCTGTCGTCCGCGCTTGCCGCACGCACGCGCGCTGCGCCCAACATGAGGGTCGCGGGCCTGATCAGGTAAAGAGGAGCGGCTCCATCTCCCTCCTCCCGGGCAAGGCTAGGCCCTGACTTGGCCGCTGTAGGCGCCTCGGGAACGGCTTCTGGGGGAGCCGCGTGGGCGGGTCGGTGCCCGGGGCCACCGGAAGAGGCGGGACGATTCGGCCCGCGCGCGCGCTTCCTCTCTGGCATCCGTGGCAGAGCTGAAGAGCACGGATGGCTGGGTCCTCAGCCGTGGGCGCATGCTCACCACACCTGTTGGACTCTAACTCGCTCTGAACTCTCCCGAGAGCCGCTGTTAATTCCACTTACTTGTTTCCAGTTTTCCTCCTCTATAGTTCCCTTCAATCTTAGAGATCTTTCCCAGGCTCTCACCGTCCTGACCTCTCTCATGAAATCTACCTGGCTCTCATCTCACACCCCACACCCCTAGCTTGGCAGGGATAGCCTTAGGATGCCTAAATGACTTGATACTGCTTGCTCATACGTGTTAAACACCTGCATTGGAACATCTGCTGACAAGAGAGAGATTCCCTCTGGGTGGAGTTGAAGCTGTGCTGGTTCAGGCTAGATGTGATTGAACTTGCAGTGGATAAAAAGAATTTGCCTTATTGACCTTGGGCTACCTAAGCCATATTCCAAAAGTAGTTTGAAATCCGTAGTAACTTATTTAGAAGTCCGGATACTGTAGCTCATAAACAAAACGAGCCAGATCTGTTTCAGTTTTTGTACCTCAAAATGATTACAGAAATATTAGTAATGTTAGAGACATGTCTAAAGCCCTTGAATATTTCGTTTCTTGAGATCTATACCCCAGTAAATTATAAGTTCCATTACATCGAGTCAGTCGTTTTTGTTAGCACAATGAAGCATACGTTAAGTATTCTTGTTTAATGCCCTAGGTTACTGATGCTAGTTGACAGTGTTTTATAGGTCTCTTGATAAGCTGTATTTCAGTGCCTTTGTAAACAGGAAAAATGCCAATTCTGTTAATTTTATGCCTTTTTAAGGAAATTATATTGTAATGCCACTATAATTTAATAATTTTTCCCATAAAGGGGATAATGAAGTTTTAACCATTATGATTATTTGGTGACGGGAGAGAAAAGGTAAGAGTAGGCCAGGAAGCTAGTAATTGGAATTTAGTTTACAGAGAGCTCAGCTGAGTGATAGAACAAGGGAAACTGAAGAGGAGAAAAGATAAGTGTATTCAGTGTATCTTGCTGAATAATGAAGTGCTATTTGAAAAAAAAAATGCCACATTTTAAAGAACTGTGTGTTAGGAGATAGACCTGTTTATGTGTACTGTATATTAGGTATCCATATTCTACATAATTGTGCATACCATCAAAATATACATTTATACTTCATTGTGATAAATCTGTCTGCATTGTATACATGTATGTGTGTATTTGAGTGTGTGTGTGTGTACAACAATTGTTTGGGTATGAAGTATATTGCAGGACAAAATGGAACACATTCTTATGTATCATTAGATTGAGGACTTAAGTAGCCTACAGAATCTCACTTTTGAATGTAAGCTTGGAGACTATCTAGGCAAGATTTTTAATTGTATATGGAGAATATAAGAACAAATACATTGTGCCTAAGCTTCTTCCTAGATTTAGAAAGTAAAAATCTGTTCTGCAGGACTAATCAGGTGACACAGTGCTCAGGTATTTATGGGAGATTGCTTTCAGGACCCCCAGGCATACCCAAATCTTCAGTTATAAAGTACTCTGTATAAAATGATATGGAGAACCTATATTCATCCTCCCACCATATGCTTTCATCTATCTTCAGATGACATGATACCTGTAGAATAAATGCTATGTTAATAGCTGTTACATTGTACCTCTTAGTGAATTAATTGAAAAAAAATATATGCATGTTCAATGCAGGTGTCTGCCCCTAAACATTTTTTATTACAATCAGCTAAATTCATAGATTCAAAACCCACTGCTATGGAGGGTTGACAGAGGGGCTGACTGTACTTAGCTACTTTATGGCTTTCTAAGAAGAGAGGAGAGGAGAAGAGAAGAGAGGGGAGGGGAGGGGAGGGGAGGGGAGGGGAGGGGAGGAGAGGAGAGGAGAGGGATTCTTTGCCCTTGAAAGCTATTTGTTCTTTGAGTACTCCATATTCTACAGAACATGGTTTGAGAAATACTTTGAAACCATATTTAAAGGCTTGACACATTTTAAAGCACAAAGCTAAGTAATGATTTTGAAAGTTCACCCTTGAATCTTTAATATATTACACAACTTTATTTGTTATTTATTTCTTGTTTAGGGGAAACACAGATGATCTGAGAGAGAAAGTTATGGAGTACATCTGAAAAGAAGGACGCTGGGCTTTTCTTTTTTTTTTAAATTAAAACAGTCTTATTTTACATACTAATCCCAATTCCTTCTCCCTTCTGCCCTCCTTTCCCCCGTCACCCCCCAATCCATTCCTTAGAGAGGGTGAGGCCTTCCATGGGGGATAATCAAAGTCTGTCACATTATTTGGGGCATGACTAAGCCCCCCCTCACCCCCATATCTAGGCTGAGGAGAGTATCCCTCCATAGGGAATGGGCTCTAAAAAGCCACTTCATGCAGAGGGATAAATACTGGTTCCACTGCCAGTGGCCCCATAAACTGCCCAAGCCCCCCAACTGTCACCCACATGCAGGTGGGTATTGGTAGTAGCCAGTAGTTAGGTTTCCTGTAGTTGGAGCAGATTAAGTAATGTTTTACTTTATGTTTATGGGTGTGTTTGTTACATACATGTATATCTGCACACCATTTGCTGTCCTGGTGCTTATAGAGGCCACAATGGTATTGGATTCTTGGAACTGGACTTAAAGATAGCTGTAAGCATCCATGTGAGTGCTTGGGATTGAACCCAGGTCTTCAGGAAGAGCATCCAGTGCTCTTAACAACTGAACCATCTCTGTACCCCTAAGTTTTTTTTTTTCTTTAAGGACTTTCATCCAAGGACTATATGGAATAAACATTTAGCTAGAATATCATTTTGAATAATTTATTATGTGCATAGCACTTATATCTTACATAAAACCACTGTCACAAATATACCTTGTTTAGAACTTCTGTATTATAGATGCCTGCAATTTCATAAGTTCCTTGATGTAGCAGCCTTAGACATTCAGATTCATGTTCTCAGCTTCCTTTTATTTACAAAAGTGTCTCATTATACTGTAATTGTGAAATAGTCCCTCATGGAGTCTGAAAAGCAAAGTAATAATGTGATCCATTTTGATGTCCAGTGATTCTGTGTTTAATGATGATCAGGAACCTGACATTCATGCCCTTCTCTCCACTGACTTGTTTTTCAGTGGTGGGAAGGACAGCTGTTACAACATGATGCAGTGCATTGCTGCAGGGCATCACATTGTTGCTTTAGCGAATCTAAGACCAGATGAAAACCAAGGTAAGTGTATGACTTTTTTGAGATACTCTCTAAATAGCTGCAACTTAGCTTCATTATTGCAAGTTGGTTAGCAACAGTCTGATGCCTCATTGGTTCTTAGTTTATAATATATGAATGCCACTATTGAAAAGATGCAGTTAGCTCTCCTAGATGTATCAAAGCACTCCCCTTTGTACTCTCCAACAGTCTCTGAGCCTCTTGAGAGGAGATGTAATATCTTAGATTCTCCTATCAATGTTCCTCAGCTTTTGGAAGCTCTGTATCAATGGTTGGTGTTTATTGGTGGACCCATGAGTACTGAACTCATTTGAATTAGCCAGTTTACTTCCAGTGGGTATTTTAATAATTCTGGAAGTGATGTGGAAAGATGGAAATTTGGAGTACTTAATAGGAAGAAAGGAAATGAGCTTACAAAGGATATGGATTTGAGGCTGGGCTTGGTGACGAGTGAGCTAGGTTTTCAGAAGTAAGGTGTTTTTGAGTAGAACTTTCTAGTTCTTTGAAGGTGATAGGACTGTGCAGCTTTTATTGTGAAGATAAAGCAAAAAAACCCCTTAGACACTATGCAGTTACCAAAGGAAAGACCCCATCCATCCCTTTCATAAGTTAGGAAAGTGAGTCTTTTTAATCTGTCTTTAGAATCTTAGTATTAAAAAAGTGCATGTTTATAGGATGTATAGTACATATGAAGTAATTTCCATCCCTTCAATTTCTGTCTTGTGTCCAGCTTTCAGCCTGAGTTATTTATGTGTAAAAGGTCATTATTATATAATCTTTCATGTGTTCATTTTTCTGACAGGACAGTAAAATGACAAGCAAGTTTATCTTTTAAATTATACCTATTAGTAGAATGGAGACATTTATTAGAATGTTGTTAGTGATGAAAAATTCAATAGTAAATACAATTAGAATATTATGAATTAAAAATCTGAGAATATCAACTTACTCAGTGTAATTGGTGTAGAAGAGAATAGATTGTTATGTGTCCACAATGGACAGGGTTTGGTAATACTGATTTAAAGTCAGCAAGATGTTGGAACTGTTGAATGAGTCACTGAATGATGGTTTTTTTTTCTCTTTAAATGCTCTGAAAGGAACCTCACTGAGGAGTGCATAGCTCCATTGAAGAGCAAAGCTGGGTATAATGTATTCCCAACCTATCATGTTTTTCACAGTATGATTTTCCAGTATGCACTCTGGAAAGAATTCATTCTCATCCAGGAGGATAATGTGCAGTTGTCATAAAATTTATAGAGCATCTCTTAAAGTCTGGAGTAGGAGCCTTTGTGGTATGTTAATTGAAGTGCTTTAGGCCACCGTGGTGCCTTTGGTTTTGTTTGCTCTCACACCAGTTGCTACTGTGTAGCTTCCACTTAGGAGGTTGTTGTGGTAAGGACTTCATGGAGCCCTAACAAACATATATTGGGTTTTGAAGCCATTACAATGTTTAGTAGTTGTACTAATTTCAGGATGTTTCTTACTCTGAAGCTCATTTCGTGGAATAAATTGATTTGAACCATGTCCTTTACTAAAAACACATTAAGGATTCACTCTAACTTGGTAGGATAGAAGAGGGAAAGTTTTAGATTGATTTGACTAAATCTGTTTCATATTGGGACAAGGAGTAGACTTATAGTGATGTGTGAGTATTGTTTTGTAGGAAGCCAGGAGGCTGTGGGAGTCAGAAATCTGATGAGCCAAAATGAGATGGCATATGATGATACATACTACTGATTGTTGAAAGACATTTACACTGTTATTCACTCCCTTTAATAGACTGTTTCCACAGTTGAAAGTATACATGTACATATGTGTTTGTTATAACTATTTTGTAGTCTGTTATTTTGTAACTTAACATTGTGAACAGTTTCAATGGCACTAAATGTTCATCTTAGTATCTTTTCTCCTGTCTTTTCTGTATGAAATGTAAATGGCATGGGAATCATTTTGAGAGCTTCATACTCAGTCCTCTTATTGGAGGAACTGAAAGCATATTAGTCTATGAAAAATTTCAACAAACTCGTCTACATAGACTTACATAGACTTACTTTTACATACTTTTGAAACATATTTGATGTATAATCCTTCCTCCCCCTCATTTTTTTTAAAAAAAGTTTTATTAGTTCAAGTTAGGGAACAAGCTTGTTTCACATGTAAGTCCCTTCTCCCTCTCCCTCCCCTCACCCCTATCCCTCCTCCCCCACCCCCAACCTACCCCTCACCCCATCCACCCACCACTTTACATTGATGGGCTCTCAAAGTCCCTTCTTACACCATCCCCCCCTCATTTCAAATATTAGCATCTTACAGGATTTGTAGTCTGGAGAATACAGTTTAGAAAGTGCAGCAAAGACTGCATATCATTTTATTATATGACTATAACATAGCTCTTAATCTGTTACAAATAGAGCTGTAGTAAATGCTTTACCCATAATGATATGTGTGGAATCTTGAGACAACTGGTGATTATATCATGGATTAGATTTAATTATCATGTTTCCAAATATATTGGTAACTGCTGTAACAAATACTGAATTTACATGTATATATTTTGTTGATGCATTGACTATATCAGATATACCAAGTATATATCTAATTTTTTCTGCCAAATATGTATCACTAAGCAGATGTTTATTTAAGAAGAGGTGTTATTAAAAGTCTAGATGATTTTTTGAATAACCTGATTGATTTGAATAAACTTATGTAATATAATTTGTAACTGAATAATTAAAATTTATTGGATACATTACTCGTCTTTAAATGTTGCATATAATTTTAAAAATATAAATGTAATACTGTTAATAATTAGAAACACAGATGATTAGAGCTATGGCCAAAAGCTTATATATTATTTTACTTATAAATGCAGGGAGATATGGTAAGTTTTTAAGCTTGGTTTTGACTATTTTTCAAGTGGTAAAAGTTACTTTTTAAAGTCTATTTGTTTTTGCTTTGTCTTACTAATTATTTCTACTTAACTCTTACAGTGGAGTCAGATGAGCTGGATAGCTACATGTATCAGACAGTGGGTCACCATGCCATTGACCTGTATGCAGAAGCCATGGCTCTTCCCCTGTACCGCAGAACCATAAGAGGAAGGAGCTTGGAGACAGGAAGAATGTATAACACATGCGAAGGTGATGAGGTTGAAGATCTCTATGAACTATTGAAACTCATTAAGGTATGCAGAGTGACTATCCTTTTTGAACTTTGTAACTTTCATTTTTTGAAAGGATATTTTATCTTTTGGGGAGAAGGTAACAAAAAATGTTAGTATGTCTTTATATTAGACTTTGGGTATAGATGTGCCTGTAGGCTTGTCACATAGTATTTTTCAATTCTTTTTATTTTATGTGTATGGTACTTTGCCTGCTTTTATGCATGCCTACCATGTGCATACCTACAGAGGCCAGAAAAGAGAATTAGATTTTCTGAAACTAGAGTTATAAATGGTTGTAAACTTCCATGTGGGTGTCAGGTACCAGCACTTTTTTTAAAATTTAAATTAAAAACAATCTTGTTTTACATACTGATCCCAGTTCCCTCTCCCTTCCATCCTCCCATGCCCCCCACCGACCTCGGGAACCAGCATAGGACTGAACCTGGTACCAGCACTTTTAACTGCATAGCCATCTCTCCAGCCCCCTTGTTAAATAATACTTCTTTTCTTCGGGGTATTAAAAACCAATAGCATTGAAATTTTTTTCTTAAACATATTTCATTCTGAATCCCTACTAAACAAACTGATGAGTCCTATTTCTTTATTCGATTATACTTTGTAGTTGCAAGAGTGAGAGAATAAGAACAGACAAAGAACATTGCTGATGTATTTTGTTGTCCATCATTCATTCATGAATAGTTCCAGCATACAAAATTTTGGAGAAAAATGTTGGCTCATCTATCTAGTAGATACTACACTCATTGAATGCTGAAGAAGATTATATTGAACAGTCACCACTGCATTCTTATTGATAATCAATTACTTGAGGATGGTTCAGTTTTCTTCCTAAATACAAATGTTTATTCAGCTGCTATACATCATCAGTTCACATAAGGCACACTGATGGGGGATATCTCAATGGTTTTACAGGGGAAAGAAAAAAAAGGTTCCGTCCTTTCCTGAAACATTACATTTCTTCACTGTGTTGAGAAGTTCAGCCCTCTCCAAAGTTTTGTAATGAACATTCCTAATCCCAAATATATGATATTACTCAAAGCTCTATATTGATTAACAGTTTTGTTTAGGAAAATGACCAGATGCCTAAGTACATTTAAAATAGTTTAATTAATTAAACAGTTCCTATTTTATATGTCAGGATGTTTTTATCTTACAAAGAAGCTCGGGGAACTGTTGTTTTGCAGCTTGCTATTTAGTTCGACAGCATATGAAGTGGATACTCTGCAGAGACTGTTGTTGGAAACTGCATGCTCACTATAACTACTGTGATTGCCAAACACGGAGGAGGGGAAAGACTTTTACTCCCAATGGTTGTCTCTCCAGAAAGGTGCAGCTAACATTGTTTACTTGGAGATGTAAAAACGGAATATAGATCTTGTATTTTCACATTTGTTTCTCAGAATACACTGAAACTCGATATTAACATTTTAGTATAAATCAATATTACAAAATGGTGTATCTTGCACTAAAAATAATTGGGTTGCTTAAAAATCACAAATGTGGTAACTTTGAAGAAATCCTGTGATAATAACAGCCATCCAGGAAAGGGAATGATAATAAATTACTAATCAGTTTAATTAAAAGTGAGCAGATTAGTAGTAATTAAGAAGAAATCCCCTTTCTCTCCATGCTGTCTTTGGAGAAATGGATGCTTTGCCATTATCTTGATAGTAACCGTCAATTATGACATAAATTAATGCTAATGTTAAATCTTGACAACTTCTGCTTTGCAATTTCATACATGATAATTATAACTATAGTTGAAAGAGATGTTATCAAGTTGTCTGGGACTAAATAGTTCCTTCTTTTCCTGTGTAAAAATATTAATTTTACTATAGGATATTTTAAAGACATCAATATCAGAAATATATTACCTTTATGAAAGAAATTGTATAGCTAAGCTTTTAAAGTTAAATCCATTTGCAAAACCCTGGTACAAAGATTCTAGTAGAGGTCTCATATATCCTAATGAATACTTGAGTAATTATGGAAAAAAAAACCAACTTTAGAAAGGCTATAATTTCCAAGTTTGTCTCAACTTGTGCTAGGCAAAAAGAACTGCACTTTAAGCTTTTGAATGTTAATGCAGAGTTGAAGCACCAGGACTTGCTTTTGTTTAAATTGTTTATTCCTAGCAGGTTAGACTGTTGTGTTACTTCTGTCTTTTGCTTTTATAGATTTTTCCCTTTAACCTTGAGAACCATATTTTGTCTAGGGTGAGCTCCATTTTGCAAATAATTCAATTTGATTAAGTAGCAAAGTCTTAGAATCATAAACTTCAGGAGGCTTAAAATTACAAGTCTCCTGTTTTGTTGAAATCAGGAAACCTAACAGAAATGTAGCAATCCGTCATATCTCTTCAATTGTTAGGTAGCTCTGATTCTGATACACTATCTGAAGCTGTTTGTAAGATACTTGGTTTTATGACTTGTCTTTTGTATTCTAGTATTGAAGTGTAATTGTGATTCTTTTATAGTTTAATATAGTGTAACCTTACTTTTCTGAAACTGGTAATTTATAAATTATCAGTTTTTAAAAGTATATTAAAAGTTACACATTAGCATCATTTTTTCAATAAAACCATATCTAAGGATCAATATATTTTCTTTGCTCTACTGATTTGATGCTGTTTCATTCTAGCTCTGAGGTTTCTTCCTACTATCCCCGTTTCAGTAAAATGTTTAAGACATTCCAAATGGCAGATCTTTTCAAAATCTTACACTTTGAAAATGTTTGTATTTTGCCCCACAGTTTTTAGTGAACATCAACACATGCTTTCCTGTAACTCTCCTATAATTGCCTGCTCATAGGATATCTCTTTAAAAGCTTGTCCCTGGTTGATGACAACCTTATAGTTTAAATGACAACTTGTATGTCTAGACCATTTACAACAGGGCCTTCCTCTGGCTGTATTGACTGGACCAGGAATGGTTTGGTCCTAATAGAATAGCGTCAATGGTGATTGGCAGATGGTAAGTTCTTCTACTTGCTGGAGAGATGTTTACTATGGGACACAAATATTTAATAGCTCATTGCCTTTTTCTTTTTTTCTTTTTTCTTTTGAAAGGGACATAATTAATGTCAAATACAACAAAAAAATGTCAGAGCCAGAGGACTTACAGTGTAAGGATGGCTCTGGGAAGTCCTCTTTTATTACTTGTGATTTTCTTCATGTTTCTTTTCCCTCCAGTACTATCTTGTAAGAAATTGTCTAACTTGTATTTTCCCAAATACTTTTCATGTCTGTGTAATTTTTAAGGACAAGATGTTCTTTGATGGAGCAGAATGGGCTTTAACTCCTAATCCTGTCTGTTCTCTCTCTCTCTCTCTCTCTCTCTCTCTCTCTCTCTCTCTCTCTGTGTGTGTGTGTGTGTGTGTGTGTGTGTGTGTGTCTGTGTGTGTCCGCTCGTGTGCGCATGTGCACATGTGGAGGCTAGAGGTTGATACTAGGTGACTTTCTCAATGGCTTCTCTGCCTTGTTTTTTTACATAGAATTTCTGACTTGGCCTGAAGGTCACTAATTGGACAGAATACAGTATGTGGCTAGTAAGCCACAATAGTCTTCCTTTTTCTGTATCCTCAGCATTGGGAGTACAGGCAAGCTGCTGTATCTGTATTTATTTATTTATTTATTTATTTATTTTTGTTGTTGTTTTTACTTAGATGCTGGATATCTGAACTCAGATACCGCTTAGGTCTCATGCTTTCCAAGAAGTACCTTACCTGCTGCACCGTGTTCCCAGCTCCATGCCTGTTTGTGATATGTTATTTGATAGTGCTTCTGGAATCTCTTTCATTTTTATGCTGTGTTTTTTACAGCAGTGTGTCTCCAATAGCTAAGGACTTTCTTTATTGATTTATATTTCTTTTTCCATATAGATGATTTTCTTTTTCTAAAGTAGCCACATACCCCCTCAACTATTGCTGGTTTCTTTGAGTCATTTTCTCATGTTGTATAATAAGAGAAAAGCTGACTGTGAATATGTTGGTTTTAATTTTTCAGACATATGGCTCAAACTTGTGAACCTGAAGTTAATGATAGTGTTGCATCACCTGCTTCTTCTTCCCTTATTCTTTTCCAGGCAACAATAGATTATGCTTTCTTGGCTGCTTCATCAGTTATCATTCTTTTATCTTCTTTTCTGATTCAAGCAAGAAACTGAGATATTTTGGCTCTGATATCTCCCTCCTGTTCTTGTTTTTGATAGATTGTACTCTTGTGTTATTTTACTAGAATTCCAGCATCCAGAAACCCGTGTTCACCTCATTCTAATGGAATATATTTAATGTACTTCTGTAACTTGAACATTCAGTTTTAGTCTTCCTTTTCTCACCATTGACACTTCTCTTGTTTTCATTTTCTCATAGGCATCTCAACTTGATACTGACATCAAATTCCTTAATGCATATGTATAACTTGAACATGGTAATTAATGAAAAATTGCTTTTTTATTCTTAAAAGTGGAATATTTACTGTTGAAAGAAGGCTAATAAATAAATACTGTTTTTTCTTTTGTAAGATACAATACAAAATCAAAATACATCCACTTTTGTTTTTAGAGTTGTTCATTACCATGCTACATTCTCTGAGAACTTATTACCAGGGAAAGAATGTCCTAGCCAATCACTGTTTTTTTTTCTTTTATTGAAAATAGATTTTTTTTCATATAATATGTTTTGGTTATGGTTTCCCCTCCCCAGTTTGTCTGAGATCCTTCCTACCTCGCTTCCTATCTTAATCCACACCCTTTCTAACTCTCCTTAGAAGACAAACAGACATCCAAAAATAATAATAAAATAACATAATACAGAAACAAAAAAATCAGAATAAGACAAAACAAACAAACAGAAGAAAAAGAGCCAAAGAAAAAAAAAAGAAAAAGCAAGAGAAACACATATAGACAAAGAGCCACATGTTAGCACACACAGGAATCCCATAAAAACACAAACCTGGAAGCCATAACATATACACAGAGGACCTGTAAGCAAAATAGATGCCTTGA